TTAAGTAAGATCAAAAAGAATATATATAATCTTATGAACAAACATCAAGCTATCGAATGAATACATATTTATATTTCTCCTACAAGATGTGCTTGTTTAGAAGCTTCATCTTCGGTTACGTGAGGTTATGAGTCACTTATAGACGGCCTTATCATTGTAGGTGTTTGCTATGACTGTATTGATATAAACATTGTTTCCCCGGTACACCTGATCTTCCTTTGTGACCCGTCCACCGAATACGAGCATTCCATCCGATATGAATGTGTTGGATAAGACAGCTACTAGCTCTAACGTCACGCGGGAAGGTCCTACCTATCTAAGTATCGGCGAATGGGTCGCGGTCGAACGAAAATGATTGATTATCTGCGAGCCGGCAATGAGCGCCATGTTGTCCGATATGGAAGGAGACGAGAATTTACTGCGATCGCCAAATTTGTCCTACATGAACTTGACGCGACCAGGTACGACAGTGGTGTTGTTTTACCATCCAGGCCAGCATAAGGCGGTGCTATTAAAGTATCAATGTATCGGCAATTATGCTGTCGTGATAGCAGCAGGATTAAATTGCTAACTGCCGGTCTAATGCATATACGCCGACTTGAAAGCTAATAGACTGATATTTACAATTACAAGGAAGAAATCTGTTGAGTTGATCCGTCAAGCTGGAAGACGGCATAATTAATCGTTGTGTCATTGGCGAACAAATAATAGCTGCAATCATTATTCAAACTTGACTGTTTTGACCATGATGTGACCTTGTGGCTCAAGCTTCACGACAAGTATACGTTTAGTGGTTATACATTTCAAGACCCGTTTCAGACGTACGCATATGGCGCTAAGGTTATCGATCAGGCTTCTATCAGAGATGCTAGAACTCAGATAATATAATTTAAAAAGTTAGCGCTAACGCTAATTGCATTTGCCACCTTGCGAGTTGCCATGCGGCCTACCTGATTTATATAAACACACGATGATTTCGGTGTTCATGAAGGGACTTGTGAGTTGTCTCGTCAAGAGCCATCTTTTTTGACTGAAAATGTATATGATAGAAAATGATAATGCTGTGGTGGAACAGAAAGACCATATCTTGGTCGTGGCATACTTGATTTCCTGATATAGTTAACAACACATTTGAGCTGCTATGACGAAATAAACGATTTTTATAAATACATAAGGAGACCACTATTTAATGAGATACGCCTTTACATCGCTTATTGTCTAAAGCCTCAGCGTTTAATTCGTCGAGCCAAAATCTCTTAGTCGGACGCGTGTATCAACCAACGCTGATACCGCGGTAAGTATCGACGCACTGATACCCGTTGACGCCAATTCTATATGAACCTTGTATCATTACCGCCGCTAATGCCCTTGAAATTGTTACTAAACAAATTATCGAAGCAATTCATTTATATCACCTTTGCACTAAGATTGGATAAATGGAAACGAAAATGTCTGCTTAGTACCAAGATCCTTTGATGCGAAGTATTCATGAAGGTTTGGGCAGGAGGGAGATAGATTTCGAGTGTACGCCAGAAAAAAGACGACATTAACCTGTCCATTGAGGCGATAATTATACGACCAAATCGAACACTAAAACTATACACCGCAACTTGATGCAATCCATGTAGCACTTTATTAACAATCTATCGATCAAATAGGATATAGAAATTGTAATAGACGCGCTTACATCACAACACATTGCTGATGAAGTTGTAGCGGGACTACCACAGCTCTTTGACATAGGAAGGCTTAAGCTCAACGAGTCAATCAGTTTGCAGAACGATCGACATCAGCGAGTCAACAAGTTTCTATAACTAATACTGAAGGAGGCATTTAGTTATCAAACAACGACTTAACGAGTCCGATATCTCAAAGAACAACGACGTAATGTGACGGGGTAGCCCGTTACATGACATTGTAATTAAGGATAAAATGAAAATAAACAATATTACGTTGAATGTTCTTTCAACAATATCACAAAAGATAATGATATTGCTGGGATGACCGAATGGACTACTCATTGGTTGATATCATGATAATATCAACCCACCGATGGCTGCTAGTCGCGCGCAATGGGTGATGAGTAGTCGTTATCATACGTTTAGTTCGATTAAAATAATTATGTCAGGACGAACAGAGACACGAGAGTGATAGGACTTATTTGTATTATTTAACATTTTTACTTTTACTACGACTAAGGTTCTTACCTTAGTCGTTACCTTCCACTGTGTAAGTGTTTACACGTAGCTGGGCACTGACCTTTGCTATTGTCAGTGAAAGGTAAACTTCGTACTGGTAGTCCAGTACGTAATCGTCGGTGCCCCGTTACACCTAACGAGTTGAAGCTCACAGAGCTTCTTATTTTGAGTTTGGGTACCTAATCATTACAGGACTTTATATTGCAGACATTTTTAAGGCACACGCGCTTGAGGGCACTTTGTCCAACTGTTCTTAGCATCAGTTGTACAAAGTAATCAAGCGTGTATGAGTGAATCTCTCAAGAAGGATTGTGAAGTCTTTACGGTCCAAAACGCCTTAGCAAGGCACGTGTCTTGCAGTGGCCAAAGTGTTAACTGATGTTAATCTCATTTTTAGCGCGGAACGAAAGCCCGCCGAAGTATGTAAAGGCAAGTTTTTGCTCTCTACTGGAGTAAAATCCCCCGACACGTAATTTAGAGGTGGCTAAAATGCGTCCCTAATCGTACTTCGTGCTCCCGAGCGAATGAGTGGTGTGTACCACACACCACACCACGAACCCATTTCGTGGTTGTACCACCAAAGTGTACCTCCGATACAGACGCTCTCTCGCATTTCGGGCAGCTGCAATGCGCACAATACACTCCTTGTGGGTGCGAAGCAATGCATTCGCTTCTTCGTCTTTCCCTTTCGATCTACGATTCGCATTCGTAGCTTGTCAATCCGCGAAAACTTTGAATATATCCGCTTATGAGATCACCAATCGTGTCACGAGCACCGTACCGCCTGTAGCTCTGTAAGTTAGGACAAACGATGCCACAACTGACAATGCTGCTGCGACGTAAGCGCCTTTTCGTTCGCTCGTAGTTGCTGCACTACTTGCGAGCGCTTGTTGTCAGTCCATGTGTCTTTGTCCGCAGAGACAGTCATTCGACGCACAGGCCCTACGCTAGGCGAATAGCCAACGCGGTTGTAGAGACGATAAGACCCCAGCTGAGGGATCCAGTGCGTCCGTCGCCCGTCCCTACTTCTTCACCTTGACCTTGCGATACACGGAAGCACACAGTCCGTCGTCGCCGTGTCCATCGGTGTACTTTACGATACTTTGTAAGCTGCAGAATGTCGTGGCATCATTAGGAAAGGCCCTAACGTCAGGATGTTTTCGCAGTCTCGTCCGTCTGAAGACAGACACACTACAGCGTGGCGACTTGACTGCATCGCTACCCGCGTGTCGCGTGTCTCTCTGAGTGGCATCTGTACAAACTCCGTAAAATAACGTCAAACACCATGTCGATAGTGTATGATCGCGAGGAGTAAACAGTGCATCCAACAACAGCTCATGGAATCAAGTACGACAACGACACATCTACTGCACTTTACGAAGGAGACCTGGCTGCTGATTTCGTAGAAGAAAGGAAACCTGACAGCCTGTCGTGGTGTCAAACCAAGCTCGCCATATTAAAACAAGGTCCACTCCGCCACGCGCATACGTACGCATAGGGCTGATCAGAAGCGGACCTCGCGGTACAACATCACGACAGGCACGTGCATCTAGACAGATGTACCGCGACGAGTGAACAACCGCAACGATGAGACGGCGGTAGGAGACGTACCTGCAAAAAGCATGATGGGACCCGCACATGGCGTTGCTAGGCGTCCAGGTGCTCACTATACTATCGACGCGCGATTGTTCAACACCATTAGCTCCAGTTTGTGAAAGAACGTGCACGTGAGTGTTTCTTTGCTGCATGCGTGTCAGAACCCTCACACTCGGGTAGCACGGAAGGGGAGCGTCGCAAAGAATCGAGCGTCGTGCTGACATCTGCTAGCGAAGAGATTGCAGAGAACCTGTTCACCTGTCGTCAAAAGAGTGCTGGACGTCAGAGACATACAATAGTTCACATGTTTTGGTCGAACGAGCGCGGGGTATCATGTACGTATTCGCATCGCGATTGCAAGAAAAGCTGTCGGCGTCACGCAAACCGAAACTGATGGGCGTTGCCGCTCTACCCGTGTCTCGCAGTTGGCTTGATGTGCGTTGCGCATGCAACTGCGTCATGTATGTGTTGATGCGAACTCTCTCGTTGAGTGGTCGCACTGACCGCCGGTCAGCTGCCAATTCTCCCGACACGTCAACGCGTTGTTGTAAGATCGTGGGTGGTGATGGGGTGGGTACTTCTGTTCAGCTGGCAAGCAGTAGCTCGCTCGCTGGCACGACAAGCCGTAGTGCTCTAGGCAAGGAATGAGCAAAGAGCGGACAGCTTGAGACACATGTTATCGCACGCATGGGACGGCTAATGATCAAGCGACAAACGCTGCCAGCTTTTACACTACCCTGCTTTTGGTTTCTAGGAAAACAGCGGTTCCGGTGTAGGCAGAGCCAGAAGTGACGAGAAAATAGCTGCAACTTGTGTCGCAACACCGACAAGTTCAGGTGAGCAGTAGGAACACTGTTAACCTCTAAGTAGAGAAGTTCCACAACAATGAAGAAGATAAACAGTAGACACTGCGTTGGGATACCCCTTATAATCAACATCAAGCAATTGCGGAGAAAAAAGGTCATGGTCAAAAGCGTTGACATTCGCAGAGTTGTCGTGCTATAGCCCGAAAGATGAAGAACGGGTTGTTGCGCGCGGCTTCGTTTGTCCCAGCTTACAACGTCTATCTTCACGGGATCTTCTCGAGCAATTCCTTCCGCACAACCATGTGGTGAAGTGTTGTCACTACGTCAGCGGACTCCTGCGCAATTGACTTCGCTCATTCTCCATTTTGCTGCCCACAGACGACAACAACAACGTCTCGGCATGAAGCTGCATCTCCAGCTAAGCATCGCTAGTGTGGCACTAGTGACTGCCCAATGTGAGCTCCTCACGTCAACCTACACGGGCACGAAGGGCCTACATGAACTGGCAAAGATGCATGGCAAATACCTGGGTACAGCCACGGACCATGGCGCATTGACCGACAAGTTTTACGTCGCAGCCCTTCAGGACGTGAAAGAGTTCGGCATGATCACGCCTGGTAATGCCATGAAATGGGATGCGACAGAACCAACGCAAGACACATTTACGTTTGCCAAGGCCGACGAGATCGTTGCGCTCGCAGAAGAAGCAGGGGCTCAAATCCGGTGTCACACGCTCCTGTGGCACTCGCAAGTCCCGAACTGGGTCCAAAGTCTCAGCAAAGCTGAGATGCTAAGTGCTCTGGAGAACCACATTACGAAAGTCATGACGCATTTCGGGGACACGTGCTATGCGTGGGACGTGGCAAACGAGGTGATGGGGGATGACGCAGTGTATCGGAAGTCGTTCTGGTACAACGCTACGGGCACGGACTACATCTCGACGGCATTCAAAACTGCCAACGCTGTCAAGAAGTCACTTGGTTTGAAGACAAAGCTGTACTATAACGACTACAACATCAATGCGATCAACGCCAAGTCAACGGCTGTGCTCGATATGATCCAGAAGCTGCTGATTGATGCTGACATCGGCATCGACGGCATGGGGTTCCAGTCGCACTCGAGTGCCTCCGACACGGATACGATCGAGGACCTTGTGGCAAACATGGAGCGCTTCTCTGCTCTCGGACTTGACGTTGCGTACACGGAACTTGACGTCAAGACGAGCTCGCCCACGCCATCGAAAGAGGAGGAAGAGCAGCAGGTTGTTGTTTACCAAAACACGATTGCTGCGTGTCGCAAGGTGAAGAAATGCGTTGGGGTGACGATCTGGGACCATTGTGACCAGTACACCTGGCTTAAAGACTCGGCTCCGCTTCCGTGGCACCAGCCGTCTGGAAAGGGCACGAAGCTTGTGCGCAAGCGTGCTTACGATGGCATTGCTGCTGGATGGGGTACTTCTACTGCGAGTGGGGTCTCTTCAACGTCGAGCAGTTCGACTCCTGAAGGTGAGACTGAAAGCTCGAGCGCGAAAGACGAGAGCAGCCTTGATGATGCAACTTTGACGGAGGATACGAGTGACGCTGAGGCACCGGGTGATGCCGAAGCTTTGGCGGCGAGTGGCGCGACTGAGACCACGAGCAGCTTCGCCAGCGACGATGACCCCGTTGATGACGAGATTACAAGTGACGCAAGCAACAGTAACGAGGTTACTGACACGACTGGCGCCTCAAGCCAAAGCGACTCGGTAACGCAAGAGCTACCGTCGTTGAATTCTACAGACGCGGCAGACGATAGCGGCACTCAAACTTTGCCAACGAAAAAGGTCGTTGCGTGCACTCGTCGACTTCGCGAGTAAGCTATGCCGCGAAAGCACTTGCTCGAGCTCGATGTCATGTCAATTGTGTGTTGCAGCCTTTAAATCGTGAGAGGTCGAGCACTTGACCTACAGACGTGACGATCGATTGGGCGAACGGATCACATGCGTTTTGTTCGGATAAAACCCTTCTTCCGCTATCCATGATGGTGGCAATAATGCTTGAACGGATCCTTTTGTTGAATGCGTACAGCTTCAGTCGAAGGTCTTGATATTGTTTCATTGCTCAGCACGTGTAGAGCTGTGCGGTTCGTACGACTATTTGCAATAAGAAGAGTCGCCCGATGCATAGTGTCTGCTGAGGCTGTCGGGTGCTCGGGCATTAGCATAAAAAAGCTTGCGTAGTCGATCCACGCTCAGTACAAAGTCGAAATGTGAATCAAATCCGTTTACTACGTATCCGTCAAAGTGCACTCCATCAAAAGGTGACAAGCAACTTTGTGTCAGCACGGACAGATGGTTCGGTCGGATCGTCAGTGATACGTCGTCGTGGTCTTCGATTCGTATCGATGGAAGGCTTAAACTTGGTCAGGAGCACGGCAGCAACACGCGTCCGTTTTCTTCTTTGGCCCTTTACTCTACGGCAGCAGTAGACCCATTCAGCGGCGGTCAAGACTAGCGTGCGTATCCTTTTGCCCACATCCACGTTACCGTTGGCTTTAACTCTGTAAAGTCGAGAGTCTCCAGATCACTTCGGCGTGAACCGCTTTGATGCATGCGGTACTGAGCAGCCCTGACGGCCTGAAAAAACTGACGTATCCACGCTTGTGTGCATTATGTCCTCGTGTCGAGACAGCAATATTACATCGATCCTCACAGCAGCATCGAGACATCAGTCTCTAGGTCATCACCAACATAACATCCGTCATTACCATCTTCTTTTGTGACAACCGTACCACTACGTCAGCATCGTGTGCTGCAAAAGAGTGCGACATACTTTGTGTATCCGTAAGCTTTGTAGGATCACCTGTGATGCCACCAACAACTTCCTGTCGGCTGTCCAGTATCTTGTCTCACCTTGTTGTCTTGCTCATCCTCGTCTGATGCAGTCCTAAGTCGTACTTTGTACGTTTTGTACAGCATCGTGTAGGCGCCGTTTCTACACTGCGCTGTCCCATCCTACCGAATGTCAAGGAGACGGCCAAGGCGATCGATACACATGAACATCATGTCAATCAGATGTATCGAAATGAAAGAGAAGCAACGTGGTCTTAAAAGTGAAAGATGGACAACACTGTCACACTACGCTTAAAACATAAACGCGCCTTATCGTAACGGAGTGCCCGCGTTACATACCATTGACATTAGCTAAGAACACTATGCGAAGGGTATTTTTGCCCATCATATTATTCGTACCTGCTGACACACTGCTCGTCGGTCGATATAGGCCATGACATCGGTTATAACCCACCATGCAGTGCTAGACGCGACTCATCAGTGGCGACTGCTGGTGTCAACCTACATGTTTGTGTAGTTCAGTACAGCCACAGGAAGGTTTAGAAGAGAGTTTATTGTGTAACGTAACTACATTGAATGCAGTTCTCGTTTTACATTAAACTAACCGTTATCGTCTAGTTGACCGCGCTTCTTCAACACTTTCAGCGTACTTGCAATTTGGAGCATCCGTCTACACCATCATCAACGTGGATAGCTCGTACTGTCGTCAGTATGGATGGATTCTATTGCCATCAGTATAAGCGCAGGGTTTTCCGTCGCACTTTTCACAACGCAAAATGATTTTCGACGCGAAAACATGAACAGCACCTACAGAATGAAAAAGAATAGGGAATGAAGGAGGCGTTGGTGATTAAATTTATAGCATATCATGCATGTGTGTCTTCGGTTATGCAGCAAACGCCACTGGTGTCTTCGTTTTATTATTCCGCTTAGTGGCGCATTCGTTTCATTTGCTGATCATGTGGCGCATAATTTTTATTTTTCTCATCTTGTGGTGCATATCTTTCTTATCGTGACTTTCTTCCATTGCATTTTGTTTAGTTTTGCGTCGAGCAAGTCCAGCTGAAAAGACCTAACGGCTCGCGTTTCGTGTTGTGTTTTTGATTACAACGCTGGACGATGGTCGTATTTTAGCACCATATCTGATAAGGTGCAAAGCGAGAGAATAATCACGTGAGTTAAATATCCTCATTCAGCCGTAATGAACTCGGAGTTGCCACTAGCTTTCGAGTCATTTTGCAGAGAATCGTTGGTGCGTGTAGTGACAAGCGAGGTAAAGGAGCTCTCTACTCAAACGGTAGATTCGTCAACGGTTACTTACCAAGGAAGAGCCGGCCGTTTGATTGTAGCGCAACCAGAGACACAGAGAAAAGGAGGTAGGGGTCTATTGACAAGGCGTGAACCACATGTGCAAGGCACATGGTATGTGGAGTCTCTCGGTCATCTGCAATAACACCGGCACACCCCTTCTCGCTTTTTCAATCGGCGCTTGATAAATCAGACGTCTCTAGGGGGGGGGGCACCCCCGACAGGGCTCAGGTGTAACGGGGCACACCCTTGCGTGAACTTAACGCAAGGGTTTGGGTGCCCCGACAGACGTACACGAGGCAAACGAGGAAGCGTAGATAAGGGAAAAGTAAAACTGTAATATTAATATAATTAAGTCTTTTAACCACTGTCTCTCTGTTTGACCTAACTTAATTATGCTAATATAACTGAGTGTATGGTGACGTCTCGTCACCACTCATTGCGCGCGTCCTGCGGCGATTGGTGGGTTGATATCATCACGATATCAACCAATGAGCAGACCCTTTGGTCGCCTCACCAATATCACCATTATCGGTGATATTGTTCAAAGAATATTCAACTTAATATTCTTTATTGTCACTTTTCTTGAAAGTGACACTTCCATGTAACGGGCTGCCCCGTTACATCACCCCCCTTAACTGATAGTCACCGTGTGACTATCGAAAATAATGGCGGCCACCCGTTGGGCGCCATTGGGACAGGGAGCACTTGTTGGGTCCGTTCCATTCACTATTCAACCCGACCTCGCATAGTTAACATGTCTATGCGGGTGACTCAAGACACACACAGCCCGTGCCTGTGCCAGCTTCTGCGGCAGACGATTCGTCGTCTGCTGCTCGTTCTTCGCCTGCAGCAAGAGGTGCTGCAGGTGCACGCGGTACAGCACCGCGTGCGCATGATGACCCCGACGTTGAGGTCATCTACTCTGGCGAGTCAGACGTGACTGACTCGGGCAATGTTCTAGAGGCGTCTCGATCACCGGCGACGCCTCAGTATTCGCCAAGGCCACTGCCGAACGAACGGACTCGTGAGTTGCAACACAGTCTCTTCGGCAGTGATGATGGATCTGATGATGAGTATGATTGCTCATCACCGCGATCAGCTCGTGCTCCTTCGCACGAGCGACTTGACGATAGTGCAAGCCATCGTCATACTGACAACCGTGGTACCGACAAGGGTACCACTGTGAAGCGTGATGAGCTGAAGCCGTGGCGTTTTCCTGAACAGCTCATTAATGGCTTGTCTCACGAGACAAGCCAACACCATCGAATACCCTTATTCGATGCGACTGAGCTTCACGGCTTGGGTCCCAGCGCGAGTAACTTTCGCGCTGAGGAAGACTTTTATCTCGATGTCTTCCGTAGACATCGATGGTATAACGGCAACCAAAAGCGTGACAAAACCTCGCTTTTGGCTGCGTGGAACGCGTTCGTCCAAAACGTAAAGAATTTTGGACGAGAAGGGTGGCTCAAGAAACTTGAGGCAACACGCCTCAGGTTCGAAAGGCGAACGCCAACCGGTGCTAGGTACCGGTTGCATTGTTTATCGAGTGAGGCAGACATTCCTTGCCTCACATGGGGAGACCCTTGTGCGAGTTGTGTTGACAACTCGCAGCGTGCACATAGGGATGTTTATTCCCTAAATTCGCCCTGGGGAAGGGCACACATCTCGGCTGAGATGCGTGACGCGATTGCAAACTTGCAATCCGTCTACAAGCGCCTAGGGCGCGTGTTTACCGATGGGCCACAGGACTCATCGGATGGGTCTCGTCATACTGGCGGACGAGACCTTCAACATCCATCAACAGCTGAGAGCGGGGCTCCCAGCTGTTCCAAGAGGGTGGATACCCCCGCCACTGGACGAGGTAGCTCGTCCTTGATCCTGAATCGTCACGGTGGTTCAAGATACGCTCCACTAGGAAGCGTTGACCACCGTGAGCATCCACCAAAGGATGTGGTGAAGGAGGAAAGACCTCCTCCAGATGATTCTGGTTCACCATCTCGACCCTTACGAGATGGATCGCGCAATCGATGAATTGCGCGATGACTTGAAGCACGAGCGCGACCGGCGCTACGCTTTGACTGATACCGTGCGGAAGAACCGCAAGGATCGCGAGGCTGATCGGGCGAGGGATCGCGCCGATTACTGCCACAGCGCAGCTTCAGGTCGAGCGGGATGTCCGCTCCTTTTCGGCGAGCTGGCGACAGCTCGCGGGGAGATATCTCGGTTGAGTTCCGAGGTATCATATCTGCGCGACCAGACGGATCGTCTGGAGCGCGAACGCAAGAACTTGATGGATGTTCTTGAACGTGGGGGCTATCTTCATCGGAAGAAGAAGACTCGTACTGACAGTACGGCCTGAGTCGCCCCACGTAAAACGTAGGATGCGTGCGCATCCTACGTGGCAATTCGATTGTGTATGCGGTGCCCTTGCGATGCAACACTCGAAATGGCCCAATGTATTTCGGCAGTAGTTTACTACTGCCGACACTAGTGACTGCATGTCCAGGTAAGTTTACCGTTGACAGTAGTACTAGGTCGTTAACTTTAAATGAAAGAACATTTGCTCTTCCATTCTTGTCTGCGTTCCGTTTCTGACGGTCCACCGCATTTGCGATGGAGTCCTGAACGAAACGGACTACCGCTTCTCGAGTCAGCAGGAAGTTCTCTGCTGACTCTTTGTTTTGTCTTTCAGTACGCTTCGTGCGCACTGCTAA